TGGCTGCAGTTGGGGTACCTGTTCCTTTGTATGGCTCACGTCATCCAGTAGGCTAGCTGAAGCTCATTCGCATGGTGGCTGCAGGGTTTCAGGAGCATGAGAGTGAAAGCTGCAGGGTTTCTTGAGCCCTCGGCATGGAACGTCATGGTACTGCTTCTGTGGCTTCCTGTTGGTCAAGGGCATGATCCACAGTGGCCAACAAGGCAAGGCCAGGGGTGGGGACATGGAACCCCCTCCTGACGGAAGGAGCTGCAAAGTGCTATGGTGGTCTTTGCAGCCTAGCACAGTTGCTAATAATTAAACGATTTTCCATAATTAGCGAGATTTAACTACTAAATGCTAACATACTCAGAAGGCAAAATAGACACTGAGCTGTCATGTTTCCCTGGTTTCTTGTTTTGCCAGCATTTTGTCCGGTGGATGAATGGCAGCTGCATAGAATGCCCTCCGCAGAAAGGGGAGGAAGAAGAGCTTGTCGTAATCAGTTTTTTCAGCGACGTTTCTCAGAACCCCCAGATAATCGAACAAGCAGTTATGATCCCCCAAAATATCCACAGAATTCTGATCAATCTTATGAAGTACCTGCAAAAATGGAAGCGTTACCGTCCTCTCTGGAAACTAGACAAAGCCATCGTGATGGAGAAATTTGCTGCTAGAAAGCCTCCTTGCGTAGCCTACGATGAGAAGTTGCAGTTCTACTCCAAGGTCGCCTACGAGGTTATGCGGCACCCCTTAATTAAGGACGAGCACTGCATTAGGCTGCAGCTGGGGCCCCTGGCCCACACCGTGCAGGAAAATGCCAAGTCCTGGGTGGTTTCTCTTGGGAAGCTGCTCAATGAGTCAGCAAAGGAGGAGCTCCATAATCTTTATGAAGAGACAGAGGTACTTGGCCATTGCTTTTCATGGAGGTCTGGTCTTCGTATGGTTGTGTTTTTCCCACATTTACTTAGTGTCTTTTAAACTTTCATTTACAGCTCTTGGCCAAAAACCTCAAGAAGACCCCCAGCACCCTTGAAGATCTCAAGTTTGTCCTTGCAACGATTGCGGAGATTAGAAATAAATCTTTGGTCATGGAACTAAGGTACAGGGATGTCCTGGAGCGATACCGTACCTTGGCCATGTACAACATCTTTGTAAGTGACCTTCTCTTGTTTTTCCCTTGGGAGGGTGGGAGCAGTGGGTCCCCCTGAAACTGTAGGTAAAGGTTTGTGTTCTGTTCACTTTACTGATGAGATTTCTAGTTCTCAGCTGGTCGACGGCTCAGCAGGACTGTTTGAAGCTGTAAAGCAACAAACTGCTGAAATTCAAGTTTTAAGTAAATCCAGACTTAGAGCCCTTATTCATTTCTCCCTCAAGGTTGTTTCTCCAACATTCTTTTTTAAGATGTGTGGTACCCTGGGTGCAGAATCCTCAGATACAGTGATGCTTCTCCTGTTGCCATGGGTTAAGCCAGAGGAGCAAGGGAAAGGAGAGACAGCATCTGCTTGTTCGAGGGGATGTCCCAGTGACCTGTGTTTAAGGATGTAAATGCCACTCTCTCAGGAGGTTGTAATTTTTTTAAATAATATTTTGTTGTGTTCTCAGTGAAAGTTTACACAGCAAATTATGCATATATTCATATGCAGTTTAAAGCTAACAGGGCAAAGTTAGGATAACTTCTTAGCCACACCTAAGCACCTTGAGGGTGGGGCTGTGGCCAAGGACTATGGTCATGGGGGACATCAAGCTCAATCAGCACACCATGTTGTTGTTGTTGTTGTTGTTATGTGCCGTCGAGTCGGCCCCGACTCATAGCGACCCCTCCTTGGGTTTCCGAGGCAGTATCACTACGGAAGTAGGATTGCCCAACCTTCCTTCCGAGGAGTGGCTGGTGGGTTTGAACCGCCAGCCTTCTGGTTAGCAGTCAAGTGCTTTAGCCACTATGCTTGTTCCACATCTTACTTTGGTGAGTGGCGTCTGGGGTCCTAAAAGCTTGTGAGCAGCCGGCTAAGATGCAACTATTGGTGTCTCCTTGTTTGGAGCAAAGAATAGTGAAGAAAATCAAAGATTAATGGAGACAGTCCATAGGACTAATGGACCATGAGAACTAGATGGTGCCTGGCTACCAATGCCCGCCACTTAGAAAGGGATCAAAACTTGAGATCCTGGATAGAGTGGGAGAAAATATGTGGAACAAAATTAAAAAAAAAAAAAAAAACCCATAAAAAAAGACCAGGTTTACTGGTCGGTTGGATAGATGGGTGGAACCCCCAGGACTATGATCCCAAGTCACCCTTTGGGGCTGCAATTAAACTCACTCCCGTGGCTTAACTCTCAGCCAAACAATAGGCAGGCCTTTGGGCAGAGCACCTACACCAGAGAGGTGCACTCCTTAGAACAACCAACCATGAAGGTCAGAAGGGCAGCATTTGCACAGGGAGAAAGGAAGGGAAGCAGGAATGCCTAGGCAAGAAGGACCCAGGGAGAGGGTGGCCAAAGGGAGAAAGCGGGAGGAACCAGAGTCACAAAACAAAATGCCTGTGAAGTGTTGAATGTGAAACAAAGCAAAACAAACAAAAAATAGTGTTTTGTTGTATTCTTAGTGAAAGTTTATATAGCAAATTGTTCCTATTTTATTTTTTTTTAACATTTTATTTTGATTTGAGTGAAAGTTTACAAAGCAAATTGGGTTTCCATTCAACAACTCATGCACACTTTGTTTTGTGACCCCGATTGCCGTCTCCACGATGTACCATCACTCTTCACCCTTCCTCGCTGTGTTTTCCGTTTCCATTTGTCCTGGTTTCCCATCCTTTCCTGCCCTCTGAGTTTTCCCTGAGAAAAGCTGCTCTTTTTGTCTGGTATGGCCCATTGTCTAAGGAGTGCTACCCATCTAGTGTTATCGTTCACTTTACAGGCTGTTGAACCATGAGGGTGAATTCAGTTTCAGGTTTAACTGAGAGCCACAGTCTCAGGGGTGGTTGTTGTTGTTGTTATGTGCCGTCGAGTTGGCCCCGACTCATAGCGACCCTTCCTTGGGTTTCTGAGGCAGTATCACTATGGAAGTAGATTGCCCAACCTTCCTTCCGAGGAGTGGTTGGTGGGTTTGAACCATCAGCCTTCTGGTTAGTAGTCAAGTGCCTTAGGCACTATGCTACCAGAGCTCCCTCTTAGAGGGTTCCTATTTAACAATCACTACACAAATTGTTCAGAGACATTGATTTTTCACAGTGTTGTAACTGTCTCTTTAATTCCCTTCTGAATAGTTCACTTCTAGTCATCTGGTTTCCCATCCCCTTCCCCTTTCTTCTTTGCTGTGGAGTCATTGTTGACCATATGATAGAAGGTCTTAATTTTCATATATTCTAATTTACCTATCTTTCCCTTTAAGATTAATGGTTTCTGTGTCAAGTGTGAAAAAAAAATCTTTGTCTACTTTGAGGTCATCCAGAATGGGTTCTTTGTTATCTTCTAAAAGCACAGTAGTGTTGTTCTTCACATTTAGATCTAAATCCAGAAGCAGACGTTCTCAGGCAGTAGTTTTTGACCTGAAATTTTCCTTCCAAAGTGCTGCTCATTTGCTGTTTGTGCTATTGTTTGATAGCTGACCGATGCAGAGAAGGAACTGGCTGGAAAGATCGAGAGCATGTGGTCAAGTCTGTTCAATGAGTCGCTGAACGTGGAGCACGCGCTCGGGGGCATAAAGAGGACTTTCACAGAGGTACCTTTAAACTCCATGTTCTGAGGGAAGATACTGAAAAACATTCATTGGGCTAAACTAGGGTGTCTCTGCTTTTCTCAGATTACGCGAAGCGAAATTTCAAACTACAGGCAGCAGGTAGAGGAGTTTGCGAAACGTTTTTATAGTGAAGGCCCTGGTTCCGTTGGTGAAGATCTTGATAAAGGTAAGAAGATTCCTGCTGGTCTCACTGAAGACTTTTTGTGGGAAGTAGTAATTGTGCTGTGGTTTAAATATCTGTTTTTTATTGGGTAATTTTTGTGGTTACATGTACGTATACAGTACACAGACGACTGAGTACAGACGTGCCTTTGAGATACTGCAGTGCCGATTCAGTTTTAGATGAGTGCAATAAAGTGACTCTCGTAATCAAGTGAGTCACGTGCATATTTTGGTTTCCCATTGCATGTAAATGTTATATTTACATGAGATTGTAGTATATTATGCGTGCAGTAGCATTATGGAAGGGTTTGAAATATTGTGAGGATGATCAAAATGGGACACAGAGACAGGAAGTGAGCACATGCTGTTGGAAAAATGGCGCCAATAGACTTGGTGGACACAGGGTTGCCAAAAACCTTCTGTCTGTAAAAAACTTAGTGTCTGTGAAGTGTCGTAAAGTGAAACGCAGCAAAAGGAGAGATGCCTGTCTCTGCTTTGTGGAGACAGTGGGCAGCATGCTATAGGGCAGGACTCACTGCTATGGGGGATAGAGCTCACACATGTTCTCTGCCAGCATCCTCTTCCTGAAGGCAACCTCTTCTCCTTCCAGATCCCCGCTGTGTGACCCTTATAGTACTTACTCTTTGAACTTAGACCCTTCATCTTTGCCCCCTACCCTTCAGACCCCACTGCCTGTGCAAAACGGGCCTAACAGCCCCACGCTCCCTCCCCCAGAAAATGGGGATGAAATGAGAAGGCAGGGGACAAAGTGCTTAGTATACTCCTGAACACACAGTAGGTCCTTAGGGGGTGGGGGCGCCCCCGTGTGGCGCCGTTCTCCATTTTCCTGTCTCTGCCAGCACCCTCATCTCTGCAAGCTCTCCTCCTCCGTGCAGAGACTGACCCTCGATAACCATCACACATGGTGGCTGCCGTGAAAAAAAAAATTGCTGCCAGCAAGTATCTGGAGGATTCTGATGGTTTGGGGGACAAAGCAGCTATTGGACAATGAGGGGGAAATGGTGTAGGCTACTTGAACACAGTAGGAGAGGGCCAGGGTACCCAGGAACGGGGCGTGAATGAGTGGGCAGGATGCATCGAGTCCGGGCAGCTGTGCAGGGGCTGCTGAGTGAGGAGCACGTGCTGGGGACAGTGGCCTCCACAGCTGTAGCCCAGCACCTTGAATGCTGCTGTTGGAAAGGAGGGGAAGGGCAGGGGCCGGGCAGGGCTGGGAGATAGGATGGAGAAGTTGTTCCTACCCGCGTGTGCACACTGATTTCCCCTCGGGACCTTTACAAACCACTGCTGCCTGGGGTCTAGCCCCAGAGCCCGATTTCATTAGGCTGTAGGGTGGTTTAGGCACCCAGCGTTTGAAGAGCTCCCTTGGTGATTCTCACATCCCGTGAAGTTGGAGACCCACTTAGAGGGAGCTGGCCAAGTGGTCAGAGCTTTCCAACGGGGGTGAGCCGATGCCACTGGCCCTTTGGTTTTGGTTAGACTGAAGATGGGATGGTGTCTGGTGGTTCTGAATTTGCCTCCCCAGGTGGCTGGGTGAGTGACGTTCTAATTACTTTATTCACGATTCCTCGTTTGGTTTTGCCCGCCTGCGACGCTTGTTTGTTTGTTTGTTAGGCATGGACCTTCTAGGCACCTTTGAAAGAGAGCTGCTGAGGCACGAGAGGGACCGGCAGGAGCTGGCGAACGCTGAGAAGCTCTTCGATCTTCCCATCACCCTGTACCCAGAGCTGCTCCAGGTCCAGAAGGAGATGAGCGGCCTCAAGTTAATCTACGAGCTCTTCGAGGGGCTCAAGGTGCGCACCCGTCGAAGGCCTCGGGAGGGGGCGCAAGACCTGATGAGGCCCCATCCAGGGGGCTCGGGTCTGACTTCAGAGAGGCTCCGACCTCGTAGGCCAACGGCGTGGCCAGGCTCTGTGTGGGGTGAGCTGTTTAGTTGGAAGTGGTGAGGGAAAATAGCACCAGCATGGCATCTGGGTGCCTCTGTTTAGCATATGTTCCATATGCCCATGCATTCACGCACTCATTCACGCACTCATCCACACACTCATCCACACACGCATTCACTCACTCATTCATGCACTCATTCACGCACTCATCCACACACTCATTCACACACGCGTTCACTCACTCATTCATGCACTCATTCACGCACTCATCCACACACTCATTCACGCACGCATTCACTCACTCATTCACGCACTCATTCACGCACGCATCCACGCACACATCCACGCACGCATTCATGCACGCATTCACGCACGCATCCACGCACGCATCCACGCACGCATTCACGCATGCATTCACTCACTCATTCATGCACCTTTCCATTTGTTCAGTTCTTTTTAGCCTGGTTCCTGCTGGTTGGAGTGGAGGGCCCACAAGGGAGTCCTGTTGGCCCATTCCTGCCCTTCCCATCCAGGTCCCCAGGAGAGACTGACATGAGAACAAATGTCCACGCCACTGTGACACGTGACAGGAATGAGGTGTACAAAGCACTGTGGAGCCCGAAGGAAGGGAGAGGGATGAAAGATAGAACTGCACCATGGTGTCATTTACAAAATACCATGCTTAGATTTCATTAACTAACATAATTCCTGTAAAAAAGGGAGCTCTGGTAGCGTAGTACCTAAGGTGCTTGACTGCTAACCAGAAGGCTGGCGGTTCAAACCCACCAGCCACTCCTCGGAAGGAAGATGGGGCAATCTACTTCCGTAGTGATACTGCCTCAGAAATCCAAGGAGGGGTCGCTATGAGACAGGTCAGACTGGACGGCACATAACAACAACTGTTAAAAAAAAAAAAAAAATGTTTCAAGCCAAGATGTTACAGGTTGCCAAGGCAATGGTCCAAGACGGTAAGCTTTATGGCAAGAAAGGGCTTCGCTTTTTATGTGAAATCCCAGAGAGATGTCGCACAGTAGTCCCTTCTTTCTGATCATCACTCAGATTCATGCTTCGTAGTCTCAGCCTGATGGGCAGGAGCCATGTGCTCTAAGCGTTACCAGTAATCAGTCACCTCAGTTTCTTTTCTCAGGAAAGAGAAGCTCATGGGCCAGAGCCCGGATGAGAGGTTTCCTGATCCGCAATGCTCGCTTCTGATTCCATAGTCGTGCTTTTCTCTGAAAGAAAGGAAGACTTAGTTTTGACCTGCACACATCCTCAGATACGGCACTGTTTTAGTGATGCCTTCAACTGTTTGGTTTCAGTTTTTGCTTTAGATCTTTGTAATTGGTCCATCTCTTGTGATATTGAGATTGTGGTGGGTGGTACCCTGCAGAAACAGAACCAGTGATTGACACACACACACACACACACACACACAGGGAGGGGGAGAGAGAGATAACTACAAAGACAGACAGACAGATAGACAGGTAGATAAATGAGGAAAGAAGTTGACTTCAGTGATATGCTCATGCCTTTGCAGGGGACTGGTCGGTCCCAAATCTGTAGGTCAGGTGACAGGCTAGAGATTCCTGCAGGGCTTTTGCCTCCAGATAGTCCTACAGGCGATGGTAAGAATGTGGAGTGAATAGTGAGAGCAAGGCCTGTCAAAATATCTGTATATAACCTAGTGGTGGAACATATCCTAAGGAAACTCCCTTTTCAATAGATTGGTCCATTACATTAGGTTACGTTACGGAAGGTGATTACACCACACTCCATTATTTTATGTCTTGGAACAGCAGCTAGACTGGTGTTTGTCCAAACCACATAGCCTCGCCAGGTTGGCACCTGAAGTTACCCATCACAGGGTACAGGAGTAATGATAACTTCAGGGAGCTGAGCATGACCCAGAGGTAAGCACCTGTGCTTCCTGCCAGGTTACCTAAGGGATGTTGTTGACGGAGTTGTTTCCTGTCGCTTTCCAGGTTGCTAAAGAAGAGTGGTCTCAGACTCTCTGGATCAACCTGAATGTCCAGTTTCTCCAGGAAGGCATCGATGGTTTTCTCAGGTCTCTGAGGAAGTTCCCCAGGCAGGTCCGCAGCCTGTCAGTGGCCTACTATCTGGAAGCAAAAATGAAGGCGTTCAAAGACTCGATTCCTTTACTTCTGGACCTGAAACATGAAGCACTAAGGGACAGGTGTGCTTGGTCCTTTGTAAATGGATGGGAGGATGTGGGAGGAGCCTCCAGTTTAAATGTGTCCTCAGTTCAAGGTCTTTGCTTAGCTCTGATGAGGAAGGGCAAGGTTTCAGCAGCAATGGAGGGCTTGAAATAGGCTGGACATACTTCTGTAGTATTGTTTCAGTAAAATTATTTTTAAAAAAGAAAACTCTGTCAGCCTTAAAATGGCATTGGCAGTTGTTTCATTTGAAGATTGAAAAAAGAAACAGGCCCCTGAAACTGTTGCCCTGAGATGATCTTTAAACCTTAAACCAAAAATACCCCTGAGAGTCTTCTTAAAATCGAACAGTACTTTAGCTTAACTAGTAAACAAGGTGGGTCTTGAGCATTACGCTCTTTTAAGAACTATGTCTGTGGGATCAAATTGACAACAGCAACTCAAAAGATTAAATAGGAACCTTAGGGGGTGGTGAATTTATATTAACAGGGAGGAAGAACTCAGAAAAGGAGGGTGAGGATGGGTGCACAGCTCAAAGAATGTCATCATTTTCCCTGAATTGTGCATGTAGGGACTGTTGAGTTGGTGTGTGTTTTGCTGTATATATTTTCAACAGTAACAATAACAAAATAAATAAAATTTAAAAAATAGATTTATAGCAAGGAGTCTAGATCAGAAAAATAATGTGACTCATATGTACTTTAAAATTTTTTCATATCTGCATCAGAAAGATAAAAAGGCAGGGTGACATTAATTTTAAGAATATGTCTTAATCAATCCAGTGTATTCCAACATCATTTCAGCATGCAGCCAGTATTAAACATTAGTGAGATATTTTACATTGAACAGTACGTCAGCGTCCAGTGTGTGTGTTACACTCACAGTGCGTCTTGTTTCAGACCAGCCACATTCCAAATGCTTAGAAACCACACGTGGCCTGTGGCCACCACACTGAACAGCACAGATCTTGCTCTGATGTAATGGAGGAATAGTGCTGAGGATGGGCACAGAGGAGGCCCACCTGTCTTGGCTTTGTTGTGGTTGGGATATGATTTTGCATGGACAGAGATTAGCAGGAAGTTTGTAGGTTATGTTCTCCCCACCACATTCTTCTGACACATCTCTCTAGCGTGGGCACAGAGTCTTACATGAATGACGTCTGGTTATTTACAGCTATGTAAAGACATCAGATGACTTCCTTCCTTAGTCCCTTTCTAACCCCCTTGAGTCCATCTGTCTTACACGCTGATAGGTCATTAACACGTCCCTTCTGCTGGAGCAGGCAGGTGACAGGAGTTTAGGTCCATCTAGCTCACTGGCTCCTGCATACACTGGGCACTCCTTCCCTGGGCATTCTGCGGTCCCCTTGGGTGTAAAGTGAGGGAGAAGCAAGCATTTTCTAGCTGAAATGCCCTGTTTTCTGATTTCTGTAGCCCAGTGTTTGTCTCAAGCCTTCATCATTCCTTACCTTTTTGTCATACCTGAGTCTCACCTATTGTCATGGGTTGAATTGTGTCCTAGAAAAGATATGTTGAGGTCCTAACCTCACAGAGGGGTAAACGCTCTTGTTTGGAAATAGAGTTTGAAGGTGTTCTTGGTTACAATGTGGTTATACGGAGCAGGGTGGGCCCTAATCCCCCAGGACTGGTAACCTTAGAAGAAGGGGGGCAGGCACCGTGTCAGGGCAGAGGGTCCTGTGAAGGGGGAGCTGGGGACTGGATGACGCATCCTTGAGCCAGGGATGCCAAGGATTTCCGGGAACTGCCAGGGGCTGAAAGAGACCAGGAAGGGTCTTCCCTAGGGGCTTTGAGGGACCACAGCCCCGGCAGCACCTGATCTCAGACATCTGGCCTCAGAAAGGATGAGAGAGTAAATTTCAGGCCACCCAGTTGGTGGTGCTTTGTTACAGTAGCCCTGAGAGCTCACAATACATCTATACATCATTACTCAGTGTTTTCTTTTTATCACCTTATTCCTTTTCTACTTAAATGAATGTGCTTTTAGGAAGAAACTTACACTATGACTTTATATAGATAACCAAAAGCACTGACTATTAATAGAAAGAAACGATACTATTAAATTGTAGCTGAGAACTGTTGTCTTTCTGTGATGGGGGTCCCACCCTTTAGGAAAGGTGAAGAAGGGTTAGAGACACGGCAGCCCCCCGCTGACTTTCTCTTTGATGGCCTGGCTTGTCTTCTTAGCCACTGTTGCACCCCCAGCTCCCGGCACAGTGCCTGCCCCTGGGGAGCTGGTCTCCCTAATGACCAACACAAAAGGGTTCACAGTTGACATCAGGTTCTGCAAGAGGACGAGTGGCCCAGCCAGGGTTAGGATCGCTGGTCTAGAGACGAGGACAGATGGAGCTTCCGAACATGAAGGCTGTGTATTTCCTTAGGAAGTGGTCATGTACCAGACTAGGGTACACACTACTACTCTAGGTGCTGGTTTTTGGCGGTAGCTGCAGGGGCCAGTGGGATGTGGGCAAGGTCATTTCAGTGACGTCCTCGTATCTGGAATCCGTCACAAGACGCTTTATCATGACCTGTGTCCTGTGATCTAAAGGGGAACGGTTAAATTCATCGCTGAATCCAGTAAACGTGGCGATTCCCATGTCGGTGCCTTTCAGACACTGGAAAGAGCTTATGGAAAAAACAGGCGTCTTTTTTGAAATGACTGAAACGTTCACGTTGGAGAATATGTTTGCTATGGAGCTTGACAAACACGCAGATGTCCTCAACGAGATCGTCACAGCAGCCATCAAGGAGATTGCCATTGAGAAGGTGAGGCTCCTCTCAGCTAGAGGAGTGAACAGCTGGAGATGCGGGTTTTTACTCAGAGAGGAAGCGTGTTCGCTCTAGAATCTGTTGTGTTTGAGTAATACAGGTTTCTTTCTAGAGCTAGAATTTTTATCTCAAATTTTTTATTTTCCTGAGGTTCGTTTTCAAGTTATTATGGAAATAACAGATGTTCATAGGGAAAAATCGACAACCAAATCACTCATAATTCCACCATCTGAGGGTAATTATTATTAAGAGTTTGGTGTGTTTCCTTCAACACATAAAAGTGGATATATACATGTGGCACAGGGTTTAAGCACTTGCCACAAACCGAGAGGTGAGTGGTTTGAACCTATCAGCCACTCTGCGGGAGAAAAATGCAGCAGTCTGCTTCCGTGAGGTTTACAGCCTTGGAGACCCTATGGGGCAGTTCTGCTCCGGCCTCTAGGGTCACTGAGTTGGAATTTGACTTGATAGTTATGGATTTGGTGGTTTTGGACACACATCCATGCACTTATTACATACAGATATATACATACAAGCAATGCTACACATATATACACATACACATAAGCGTGTACATCTGTATACACATACATGCATTATACAGAGGCAGATACATGCACATATGTACATATTCACGTGTGGACACATGAACATATACATACATACACATGTACGTGCATGCATATACACACATGCACATACTCTACATACACAAGTATGTACATGTGTATGTGTGTACATACATATATCTTGAGTTGGATGATTTTTGAAAATGCAATCACAGTAGCATGTTATTTTGTGATTTGGTTTTCTTGCTCACCAGGAGAGGAAACACAGGGACAGCACGAGTATTGAGATTTCGGAGGGAGACAATGGGTGGTTCTGGTGCTCAGCAGCGGAGTGAACTTGGCAAGCTGCTTTACCTCGCTGAGCTCCAGTCCTGTTCTCTGTAAGATGGGAGTAGCAATAGCACCTGCTGCGCTAGGGTGGCCTGGAGGAAGAAAGGAGACCATGGATGCAACCTGCTTTCCTGGCACATAGCAAATGCTCCATGAATGATAAGGGTTATTACCAGGACAGAATCTCTCTGTTCAGAAAGCTAAGACTTTAGCTCCAAGGCATGTGAGGGAAGCTGTCACTGAGTTGGAATTCTGTGTTTCAATTTATGTCCCTGAATCATTCTTTTTTCATTCTTGGCAAGGCTGTGAAGGAAATCCTGGACACATGGGAAAATATGAAATTCACCGTGGTCAAGTATTACAAAGGCACCCAGGAGCGAGGCTATGTCTTGGGGTCTGTTGATGACATTATTCAGTGCCTTGATGACAACACTTTCAACCTGCAGAGCATCTCAGGAAGCAGATTTGTGGGGCCTTTTCTACAGACTGTTCATAAATGGGAAAAAACACTTTCTCTAATTGGAGAAGTTATTGAGGCGAGTGAAAAGACACAAGGGTTAATGAGAGCCAGTTAATAGCAGAAAAAATCTTTGGGAATATTTTGTACTTAGAAACTAAACATCCTCTTTTCTACTTTGACTGTCTTATTTATTTCAGAGAGAGGAGCACACGATTGGAAGACTTGGTCTGAGTTTCTATTTCGGTGAATGTATTTTTAATTTCTGAGATTCTTAACTGGCTTGTTTCTGTATGTCCCTGTTCTTGTTTAATGCTGTCCTGTTCTTATGGCAAGGATGCTCTTACTTCTTTAATCACATTGAAAATACCAAACATGGACTTTTTAAAGCCCCTTTCTTATTTCTGTATACTTTTTTATTTTCTTAGGTGAGAACTTTCCTCTCTTTTGTGTCTTCTGACTGACTTTTCATGGAGTTGGCTTCTCTCTATGGTCTATGATTTTATTTTGTTGTTGTTGAGAATCCACACAGCCAAACGTACACTGATTCAGCAGTTTCTGCTTGTACAATTCAGTTACCTTGATTACAATCCCATTCTCACCCTCTTTTTCTGAGTTGTTCTTCCCTGGTTAACGTGAGCACACTGCCTTCTGAGGTTTCCATCGAATCTTTCCAGTCGCTGTGGTCAATTTGATCCCATTTGGATAGCCCTTGAAAGAGCATAATGGCCAGGGTAGACCTTTTTCACTAGTTAGGCCAAGCTGTGGTTTGCTTCTAAGAAGACTTCCAAGGATGTTTTTTGGTTTAAGGTTTAAAGATTATCTCAGGACGAGAGTTTAGGGGTTTATCCAGCCTCCATGGGTCCAGACTATCTGGAGTCCATGAGAATTTGAAATTCTCTTTGGCATCTTCCCCCTTTTGGTCAGGATTCTTCCATAGGATCTTTGATCAAAATATTCACCAGAGGCAGCTGGGCACCATCCAGTTCTTCTGGTCTCAGGACAGAGGAGGCAGCTGTTCATGGAGGCTGTTAGCCACACGTTCCATGTTCTCCTTCTGTTCCTGTCTCTCTGCCTCTGTCGGTTGCTCCGGGTGCTATGATTTTATTTTATTTTCTAGTTCCTCTTACATCATCTTTTCCCCCTGTGTTTGCTTTACTTTATCATGTGTTTTTGCTGTTTCTCAAATCTGACCTGTGGCACTGGGTGTTGGGCAGCTTCAGACAAGGTCTTATGTTAGATAGCTTGGGGCTTTCTTTCTTTGTGAGAAATTCTAATTCTGACCCCTGTGTACAACCCAGTTTCAACTCATCATTTTTTATTTTTTTGCCAGCCTTTCTCTTGATTTGAATTCCCCCTGTGTCCCAGTGGGCTTTTGTTCTATTCACCTGGAGTCACCTGGTTACCTGTGCCGACATTAACATTTTGCACTTACAGATCTGGATGCTGGTTCAGCGTAAATGGATGTATCTCGAAAGCATTTTTATTGGTGGAGATATAAGATCCCAACTTCCAGACGAGGCCAAGAAGTTTGACAACATCGATAGAGTATTCAAAAGGGTAAGAGGCTGGTTGCTATTTCAGTCACGAGGGAAGGACAGTTACTTGACATAGTTTAACTTTTCCATGTGTGTGTCATATTTTCTCCACTATTGTCTGGATTTTTTCCCCATCATTATATACGGCCTTAATCTCTTTAGTGAAAATTTCTGTTTGATCTTCAGCTGCTGAAATCTAACATTACAACTTATTATTATTATAACAGTCATTGAAAAATTTGGAACATGTAGAAAAGCAGGAAAACGTACCTCCTCTGGTTTCATCCGCGTTTCCTCCCCATAACGTGATTGCTGTGTTACGCTACGGGTTTCTTTGACCTTGTGGATGTGTGTGTTTGCATGAAATACACAGTTCTCATCAGATTGCTTGTAATTTTGTATCTTCTCATTGCCTCTTTATACTGTGAGCAACATTATTTCATATTATGCAACTTTCTGAGAGAATAATGTCACTAACTGTATGTAATTTTCCAGTGAGTGGCTTGGCTTTGTTCACTTTGATTATTCTCTAGTATTTGGACATTTTGGTTGAAGTGAATAGTTCCATAAATAATGTGCCAGTGTGTGCCTACGGGCTGTTCTCGTATTTAAAATAGATGTGATGAATTTTCAGGAAGGGTGTGTTCACCTTCAAGCCCTTTCCACATGGAGTTGGATGAGCAGTCACTGCTGCTGGCAGTTACAAGGGCTGGGGTTTAACACAGGCTGGCTGCCCAAGCTCAGCATGCTGGTACTTACCCCCTGCTTAAGCTGGTGTTTTCTTTAATTGTGAATGACGGGTTCATGTCATGGTCTCCTTTATCCACTGTAGTGTGTAATTTTTTTCTTGTCTGTTTGCATACATTTTGAAACTAAAAAAGAATTATATAGCAAATATCTATTATTATAGAAGGATTTTGAACTTACAGATGAGGAAAAGGGAATAAAAATTGCCTCCTGTCAATCTGCAGCCTATGAGACCAGAAGAACTAGATGGTGCCCGGCTACCACTGTCAACCACTTGGAAGGGGATCTATGTGGGAGATCCTGGATAGAGAGGGAGAACAATGTGGAACAAAGCTCAAAATCATTTGGAGAAAAAAAAGGGGAGGGGACCGAGGTTTGCTGATCTGATAGAGCCTGGTGGAACCACTGAGACTATGGCCCCTAGCTGCCCTTCGGGTCTGGAATTGAACCCACACCTGTGGCTTCCAGCCAAACAAAAAACAGGCATATGAGTTAAACCTTTACCTGAGGTAGATACACTGCTTGGAGAGAACAATTATGGGAGAAAGAAGGGCTGCTTATGCACAAGGAGACAGCTCAGGGGGCAGGAGCACATGGAGGGATGGACACAGGGAAGAGGTAACTGTCTGGAGGAAGTGGGAGGGGAGCTGTTGCATTGTGTAAATTGTGGTCAATGTCATGAGGCAAAGTGTACGTGAACTGCTGTATGGAAAGTGAATTTGATCTGTACATTTTCACCCAAATCACAATTAAAAAAAAAAAAGTAAGTAAATAAATAACAACAGCAACAACAACAAAAAGCCTCCCGTCACCCAGGATAACCACTCTTAACAAGCTGACACACAGCTTTCCAGAATCTGTTCTGTTCTTATGTAAACATGTGTGAGAGTAGGTCCATAAACAGATTCTCTTCATAAACAGTCTTCCCATCCTCATGAGCTTTTTGTCAACAGATGTGTCAATAAATACATCAGGGTTGTTTATGGCAGCTGTTTAATATTCCATGTTGCAGACCACCTAATTTCTCTATTGTTGGAACTTTCAGTTATTTGTTTATTTTCTGTTGTTACAAAGAGTGCGACAGTGAACATTCTGTCCCCGACAAATTGCTCAAAGTGCAATTGCTGGGCTCGTTCACTCGGCGAGTATAGATTGATGACTGCTGTCTGCAGGCCCTGTTGTAGGTCCTTGGTGCACAGCTAAGAACAAAAAGATGAAAATCCCTGTTTTGTGCCGGTGGCCACCTAGTAGAGAGACAGCAAAGAATTAACCACCAGGAATAAGTGTCTGTTACGTAGTATGTTAGAAAGGGCCATGGGTCTTGTACAGCTTGATAGATTGAGCCCAATTGCTCTCCCAGAAGGCTGTGGTTTTGT